CATTCCAATGATGAGACAACAGTGAGACATCTTCTGTTTCCTACCATCTTTTATTTTGGTGGGTCTTACTCACTAGGTTCACGTGTCTAGATATTAGTATATTCAGGTTTATTCTTTCCTGTACAGGGAGATTTTGAACGGCATTGCTGTGACGGATGAAGATGGAAATAAACTGGGCCACTCAAGGGTGAGGGATATTTATTGGTTGTATTAGGTCGAAATAACCTCACCTGATGAAACTAGTTACAAGATGTGTATTAGTTTTAGAAAATGATATCATAAAACATTTTATTCTTTATTAAGTACTGCCCTGAAGAAACTGCTTATATTACACAAGACAAATGAATAACAGAAATTACACAAATGCCTGTTTAAACACCTACATACCGTTAATTTTTACATCATGTCCTTATGTATCTTATATCGTATCTATTATTGTTACAACAATTTATTGTAATTTACATTCCTTACATACCTGAGTATGTAAACTTATGAGCAGAAACATTAGTTTAAATAGATCTGAGTGTGTTTAGTGCTTACAATAATCAGTTTAATGATAAGATGCCTTTTTACATTAAAAACATTTCTGTGTTCTTAAGTTACTGAATAAATAGTGTATACTCTCTGTGTTTGTCATAGAAAGCAGCTGTCAAGGGCATCACACAGGTGGTCATCTCTCGAGTTACCATGGCAGCGCCAGGCATGAGTAAGTGCAAAGAGTTTGGCCGGTGTTATCAGATCTCAGTGCTAAAATAAATGAATCCTGAGCCGCTTTCTTTGTCCTTTCCAGTCATTCTCCCCATTATTATGCAGAGGCTGGAAAAATACAGATTCATGCAGGTGAGCCTCATGTTGTTTTGTATCCAAGAAGCACGCAATGGAACGGAGAAGCGATAAAATAGCCAGTTTATGATCTGCAGATGTTTCTGTTATAAATTCACTCTCTCTCTCAGACCTCAAAACCGACGTCTGTTGAGTCGTTCTCATATAACAGTCAGTTATCATCAATGCATACAGGTTTCAAATGGTTTTAACACTTTTAACTATTTGAATGAACATTAGCTAATGGTTTAATGCATTATGTAGCATAATAATGTTTTCAATTGCAATTATTATACGTCTTACAAAGGTAATCTTATTTTGTATTGTTGATTTTATTATATTGGGATTCCTGGGTCTGTAAAGTCTATAAACCCTTTGCTGTACAGGTATGATTTTATATAAAACATATTTGCATTTTTGTTTCTATTGCAGAAAATCACATTTCTTCACGGGCCACTGCAAGTCATGATGGTTGGCGTATTGTACGTGATCACATTTCTTTTTATGAAAATAGCAACAATTGGTATGCTAAATATATGAGATCTTGTTTCAGTAGAAGAAATGACAACATGCCTTTCTCTGTTTCACAGTCTGATCTTCATGGTGCCTGCAGCATGTTCACTGTTTCCTCAGAGTTGGTAAAGTTTGCATATACTGTACATGACAGACATCTTTTTTTGAAGGGATAGTATCTCTTCAAAGGAATCGTTCACTCAAAAAAAAAAATGTACTCACCCTTAGGATATTCAAGATGTAGATAAGTTGGTTTCTTCATTGAAATTTAGCATTACATCACTTGCTCACCAATTGATCCTCTGCAGTGAATGGTGCTGTCAGAATGAGAGTCCAAAAAGCTGATAAAAACACCACAATAATCCACACGACTCCAGTTCATCAATTAATTTCTTGTGAAGTGAAAAGCTGCATGTTTGTAAAAACAAATACATCAAAAAAAGATGTTTTTAATTTCGAAATGTCACTTCACAAGACATTAACTGATGGACTAAAGTCTGATTATTGTGATGTTTTTATCAGCTGTTTGAACTCTCTATCTGACGGCACCCATTCACTGCAGAGGATCCATTGGTGAGCAAGTGATGCAGTGCTAAATTTCTCCGTATCATAATCACAGTTTCATTATGACATTAAGCTTCATTATCACAGTACATATCATAATCATAGTTTCATTAAGACATTATGCAACGTTTTGCAGCTGCTTCATCCATTATCTCTCTCTAAAATGCTTCATTCAGATGTTTTCACGATAACTGGTCTCTGAGCCATACCAGACTAATCAATCATTTGCACTTTGATTGCAGTTCTATGGCTGTATCCAAGCTGGAACCTGAGCTCAGGGAGTCAATCATTTCTCAGTACGGGGACCGTGTCAGTTACGTGTACTTCAACAAAGGCCTGTGAGTGCAGGCCAATCACAGACTGGATGCACGCGTCATCGGAGTGCACGCATTCACTCTAAAAAGAAACTTTTTGATTAGAGGTTTTGTTTCATATCCTAGAAAAAAGGTTTTTATGCACTAAAGAATAATTTATTGATAGTTTTTTTTACATTTGGCCCTGACTGCTGCAATGAATCAGTTTGATTTGTGAAAACAAAATTTATGGACATTGGATAAACCTGATCCAGTTGCCTTGTCATTCGATCCTGTTGTATATGTTCTACCCTGAATAATCGAGAACAGATTGAAGAGTCTGAGAAGTGTTTCCCTCTGATGCCATACGCCGTCATTTACCACATACATCTCTCAGGAACAGTTTATTTTAAAGGTTTAATGCTTTAATAAAGCCATCAGTGAAATCATTTTATCGGGTTTTTCTTAAACTGTCAGACGTTCAGGAATATACAGTCAGATCATAAATGTTTACATTTTAAATACCAGTTACAAGCATAAAGTGGGGGAAAGTACAGTCCATTAAAAATCAGTTTGAAAGAGTATTTCATGGTTAGAGTGTCTTAAATAAAAAAAAAACATTCATGGCACTCATTGGGTCCATGGCTTGCCCTCACTGTGAACTGTCTGAGCTATGTACTTCTTTTCATCATTATGAGATGATGAAATAAACAAACAGCTGTCGAAATAAACCCCTGGTCTGTGATAACTCATGAGAGTTGAACCAAAGTGGAGCTTGTGTTTATTTTATGTATAACTGTGCGCTCAATATTAATTCCTGCCACTTGAGGGCAGTATCTAATCATTAAAGTTTTGTAGGGTAAATATGCAGCACTTTGTCAAATAGTCACACTAATGGGCTAAAATATACTATAAAGCGACCAGAAGACACTTTTTTCGGACATAAAATATGCTGAAATATACACAGGATATATGTATTAGATTCAATTCAGTTAAATTTTATATATATGTGACCCTGGACGACAAAATCAGTCTTAAGTCGCTGGGGTATCTTTGTAACAATAGCCAAAAATACATTGTATGGGTCAAAATTATTGATTTTTCTTTTATGCCAAAAATCATTAGGCTATTAAGTAAAGATCATGTTCCATGAATCCATCCAAAGAGATATTCTTTATAAAAGTTAAGAGTCAACCACGCCTACTTAAAACGGCTTGTTCTAACACGCCCCCACATATCTACGTCGCTATGTGGGAAGATTTGCATAACACCGCCCAAATGTTCACGCAAAGAAAGTTTGTTTGGCCTTCTAAAAGTACGATATCCGCTTCGTCATGCCTGGAGCTGATCGTGAAAGGCGGGGCATAGAGGAGAAACAATAATGTACAGTATGTGGAAAATAATGTGTTTTTTGAACCTTAAACCGCATAAACATTTCAATACACCAAATACACAAAATAATGTTCTTTTTAGCAGCATCATATGACCCCTTTAAAGGCGATTTTCTCAATATTTTGATTTTTTTTGCTCCCTAAGATTCCAGATTTTCAAATAGTTGTATCTTGACCAAATATTGTCCTATCATAACAAACCATACATCAATGGAAAACTTATTTATTCAGCTTTCAGGTGATGCATGAATCTCAATTTCGAAAAATTCATGACTTATGACTGGTTTTGTGGTCCAGGGTCACATATGTTATAATATGTATAATATGAATATGCATAATATTTTTATATTACAGAAATATAAAAATATGTTTTTTTTCATAGATTTAAAAATCATAATTGGACAAGCTGATGTAGTTTAATGTTTTATTTGGTAATACTGTATATTTATCCATCAAGTGAACGTCCACATGGGAATTAAACAAAGCATCAAAGACATGCATAGTCTGGTTCTTCTACCACAACTTTTATCATGTGGTTCAGACACTAGGTCTCACATTCCTGCTCTTTTCAGCAAATCATAAAAGAGAAAGACAAAGACTGGTAAAAATAACACAATGATCATATAAATCAAAGGTAATAACACATTTTTAAAAAAGTATAAACATGGAAACAAAATCATTTAACTTACGCCATTAAAATTCAATAATTCATACAAAGCAGTTTAAGTAGTTATAGCTCGATGCATATTAAACATTAAACTTGTAGATTTATATAGACTATTTGTAAGAGTTCAAGCTTGTTTATGACAATGCTTCTGATATGAAGAAAGAAGTGAGGATATTGAAACAAAAATCTTAATTTAAATCACACTTAGGCAAAAAAAAGAGCTTCGTACATTTATGCTGGAACACTGATAGCCAAAATAGAAAGGCATGAATTGAACAATTACCCATAAGAATGCTCCCTTTGTCAATACAAATGATCTCGGTGCTGATTTTATACAATGATTGTGATGCATTATATCGTCCAAATCGATCAACACTTTTGTTGCTTTCGTCAGTTCAACAGCGGTCTGTCTTCTCCCTCTCTCTCTTTCTCTCAATCACTATGACCACATCGGGCCACATGGTTTACCCTGACGAAGCGCCTAGCAACTAGTATTTTAACGCCTCACCCTCAGTCAATCACGTGACTTGGCAACGCCCAATCAGGGGACAGTTGCAACAACCCAACTCTGTGCCTTCCTCTCAAGCTGCCAATAAACTCCTGAGTTTATTGACATCACAGGAGGAAGGAACCTCGCTCTTTGTTTCCTCTTTCTCAGTGCATGCTATAGGCCTGTGTCTTTGCATGCCAATCCAATCAGCCTTGTTTTACTCTAGGGCAAAACAAAGGGTCTTCCCGTTACCATGGCAACTAAAGTCTTATGTACCTCTTCTCGGACTGGCGCCCGTGAATTATCTTCTCCGTCACCCAATCTGTCCACAGACACTCCTCTGGGGCGCTGATCTCGCATGGGAAGGTTGCACAGCGTGTGATCTGGGTGCAGCAAAACAATGTTTGTTAACAGGATGTGATACTGATACCAGTATTTTTTTTTTAAACAAAGTATATAGATATGCAAATGCTAAAATTAAGCTACATGTTATTATTAAATATTAGCTAGGTAGGTGCTTACTGACTCGACTTAAAGGTACAATATGTAAGTTTTCGCCACTAGAGGTCGCATTTTCAAAACAATAACAAAGGCGAAGTTTGATAACGCTATGAAGGAGGATGTTCACAGATGAGGTAATTTTTTTATTACCTGTACCTTCCATAGTTATACAAACAGCGAATAAATTATACAGAGAATGCAAGCAAAGAACATTTACACTGTCAAAGAACATTATGACTGACTTAAGTCTAGCGCGAGTTTAAGCACTCTCAAAAAACTCCCCTTATAATCAGTAAAGCGGTCTATACAAGGTTTTATGAATGAATCTCTTACATCATACGTACATCTGCGCTTTGTTGTTTATGATGAGAGAATTCGCGTGAGAGCTGAATTCAATCAGCCAGCGCCGTGCACTGAACAAAAACTCATCTGAACGCCTCTGATTGGCCATTGCATTCATAAGCTGACTTGGCAACGCCCAATCAGGGGACAGTTGCAACAACCCAACTCTGTGCCTTCCTCTCAAGCTGCCAATAAACTCCTGAGTTTATTGACATCACAGGAGGAAGGAACCTCGCTCTTTGTTTCCTCTTTCTCAGTGCATGCTATAGGCCTGTGTCTTTGCATGCCAATCCAATCAGCCTTGTTTTACTCTAGGGCAAAACAAAGGGTCTTCCCGTTACCATGGCAACTAAAGTCTTATGTACCTCTTCGGGTACATAATCTAATAAGAACAATACAGAAGATAAAACAGCTCACTAGGACCTTAGATAACTGATGCTGTAATTCTTAAAGATGAAGCATTTGCAAATCAGTAACAAAAGCATTGAAAATGAGAATTACAAAAAAGAGGAGAACAGTCCTCTTGGTTTTGTCTTTAAAAAGTGCAACAAGTTCAAATAGTATCATCACTGAACGATTAACGGAGGAATAAATGCATAAATTGGACTCATCGTGGGTGTTTGAGACAAGGTTCAGAAAGGTAGACATATTGACAAAACAAATTAGGGATGTTCGATTCATAAATGTGCATAAAAAATCGAATTAGAAAGGAATTTATTGTATATTGCTAACTAATTGTGAACACAAAAACTGTTGTCAGGATAATAGATGTTTACATTGTTATTCCTGTATTTTTCGTATATGCTAAGGATACGCCATGAAGCATTGATGAAAAACAGTGGAAGTGAAATAAAGAACAGCTTCATATACAACAGTTCAACATTCTGAAATTTGGTCAGCAGCACAATTTT